TGACTTGACCGTCTTTACTAAAGACTTGATGATAAAGACTTGAAACTTACTTGAGACCCACATAAAAATGGCTTTGTCCAACCTCTGCAGATTTATTTGAGATAAGTAAATAAAAATATTTGCATAACAAGCTTAACAGTTCAGAGACATTAACACAATCAAAAGAGCTTAAAATTAACATTTTCTTTTTCTAAATTTGTATACAATACATAGGAATACACTTCTACTATAAATATTTATCATGCATTTTCATCAGTAACATTTTCATCTTCAGTTTCCAACATTACCATTTTAGATAAAACTTGATTCAGCATTTCACAGGTTAAATGACACATATTATGAGCTGATTTAGTCTGAAACCTACTAGACCGTGACTGACTGCAGGTGCTGGTAAAACCTGCTCCATTTGCATTCAATCATTTTATTCTCCTGCAGCTGCCTCCGAAATTAGCCGTATTATTATACTTTAGGAACATTTAACCTTCAAAGGTAGAATCATTGAAATATTACTAAACAAAAGCTGAATTGACTCCCCCTTTAGAGGGGAGTGCAGAGGTGATTTTCAGTGGCTGCTCCTTCCACCCCTTTGTTCACTGCAGCCTCACAAAGCCTCCATTGACATCAGGTCTGTAATGATTGCTGCACTGAAGCATGAAACAAAGAAATAGCGTCGGCCTGGTGGAGGAAGGGAGGAGAGCCGCTCAAACAGTCAGTCGATCTTTTTGTGAGTGTGTCGAGATAAAACACAGCGAGGCAGATCCTTCAAATAGGCTCTGCGGGAGTTGGGGAGGGGGGTAAATGTTAAGAGATCACAGTCGAATGCATTTTATGACAAAAAGGGTGAGGAGAGGGAGAAATGAGGGAAATGGCTCTGGAGGTTCATGAAACTCAGATGGGAAATTATCAGTCATTAAAAAAAGTCTCCTAGGGGTGATTAATCTGACTAATGGTGCTAACAGGACTGTAAGGATGTTCTAAAGAAAACTGACCAAAATGTTTGAATAGTGAACTTCCGCATCTATGCCACTAATTGATTCCTGTAAGATTATGGTTCAGTTGTCAAAGCATAGCACTGATTTTGCATGAAAATTAGAAATGAAACATTTTAATTTCTCTTTTAAGATCCCATTGTATAAAATCTGCTACAACATCTGTTATTCCAGCTGACAGAGACGACAGGCGTGGAGTGCACAGCGCTGCAGCCTGTTACCTTGCAGAAAGAAAGGTCATGGGTTTGAACTCTGCCTTAGGTTCTGTGAATGCTCTCCTCTTTCTACACATATGTCTTATTTCAACAGGTCAAAAACATGCATCTTACTTTGATTAGTTTCTCTAATTTGCTCTTTGAAGTGAATGTCCTGTGATAGATGTTTGATTGGTCCAAGGCGTACCCTCCCTCCTGCACCAAGACAGCTGTCAGTTAATTACTCCAAGCAGAAAGACTTATTAGTCTGATCACCATGCATGCACATGCCTTATAACCATTACCAACACTCCAGTCAATACCGGATAGAAGACATTAAAAAAAATCACATTGCTTGGGAAAGCTATAATACTGAATTCAGCCTGCATGTAGTGTTGCTGTACTTGCACATCATGTCACTGTTTAAGGTGATGTAGGCAGAATGTGGCATTTACTGATTTTACAAGCAGGAATGTGCACAGGATCCGATCTAATGGAAATATACAAAAAACAATTCATAATTCTAAACACCATCTCTGTCAAAATATATGAAAAGTTGCATATCAGCCAAAATACTAACAGTTTAGCTCGTTGTGATTTACGGACCCAAATACACAGCAGAAGCAGAATCAGCAGTTCTTCAGGGCTCCTTTTAAAAACTTTGTGGTTGTTTATTACCCAGCTTTCCTATTATTGTCAGTGAACTGTGCATTTGGTAAAAAATGAATATGACTGTATGCTATTCTTACAAGCAATTGTATGAGCATGTTTTTTTGTTTCTTTGTTTGTTTTCATAATCTTTTGATTACAGGAAAATTATTTAGGTAAATTTTACTGTGAATTTCTTACTAATTTCTACTTTAGATTGTTTTGTTCTCATGGGTGAATCATTTGAAACTGACTATTCTGATGTTGGGGAGAAGTTTTGACTATGGTTGCTGATAGGTTTGCAGGGCTTTTTGAATTCACAGCAAATTCAAAAAGCCCTGCAAACACAAAAATGAGAGTAACATGAAAAAACAACCCACATATGCAAAGGAATACCACTGGGGAATTACTGTAACTGCAAACAATTGAGAAATAGAAGTGAAAATATGACTCGAACCAATAAATGATGCAAACATACAAAGCACATGCAAAGAGAAAATACTAGCAGCAGTTGCAAAATAGCCCAGCAAAACAGAAGTGTTTCAGACTACTAGGTAGAGATACTATTAAACTAATTTGGGCCCCGCCCCTTAGTTAATATATAAAAAAGATGATCAGAGAGATTAAGTGTTTAAAAAAAGGTTCAACAGAAAACGTACTGTACCTTTTTTCGCTTCAAGTGTCCTCTGGGCAAGCTTCCCATTGTGTTTGTGCAACAAATCTGGTCTGTGGACTTAAATTTGTAGTAATATCCATGTGTGTAATATCCATATGTGTGGGTGATTTGATCTCCCCCTAGTGGTCTGGAGCACATTCGTTATGTGATACTACTTTTCAGGTTTTCTTAACTTTAATTTTTTTTTTAAATACTTTCAGCTTTTTCCCCTTGCATTGATTTTGTATGTTAGCATAATTGATGTACTTGCAGTTGTTTTGTATTTGCAAGGTGTTTCCACATTTCTGTTCTCAATTCTTTCTGATTGTATTTATCCATATCAGCATTTTTCCTTCCTAGGTGTCTATTCCTCTGGTTTCATTTGACGTTTTCTAGACTCATTTTTGTGTTTGAAAATCGAATGTTTGTGTTTGCAGGACTTTTTGGATTGGATTTTTTGGATTTGCTATGAATTAATACGTTTGCATGGTGTTTGTCAGTTACAAACTAGATGCTTTATGCACAACAAATGTGATATCTGGGTTTGCTGTTTGTCTCAAAAGCAACACTTTCAGTTTTTCGTGCTTTTTCTTTTTTCTGTTTACGCACTTGAAACAGCTTGTTGAATTTTTTTTCATTTATATATCATTTTTAAACTTACTCCACATTTTCCTCGCCTGGTTGAGCTGCAAAATAATAACAATCATGAAATGTTCCAAAGAAACCAAAAATATTTGCACCTGAAGAGTTTCTACACTTCATGTCTTTATTAGGTTTGTGAATACAGTAGATATTTATCCATGTTAAGGTGCTCACAATAAGTAGGCAACTACAAGAAATCTTTCACCCCTCTATCCAACAAAATATGGAATGTTCAGGTGTTTACTCAGTCTTAGCATGGTAGCAAATACATTACATGTCTGAACCAAAATGCATGATAAACAAAGTGTTGCGTCACATAAAAGTATTCTCATAGAAAGCATTTTGTGCCCATCATAGTTGTGCATATTATTGTTACAGTAAACTTCACATTACATAGTATCATAAGTTACTTAATCTAAAGCTGCCTCATTAACATGGTAAAGAAATGTGAGGTTTTGTTTTCATCCTAAGCAGCAGCAGGAACCAGACTTTCAGAAGGTTTGAATAACATTTAATCAGTGAATCACAACATTACTTGGTTACATGATTGCACTAAAGTCAAACTTCCACCCAATTCCTTGAAGGCAAAATGGCCACGAATATATTTATGACTGTAACAATTATACTAAAAGCAGTTTTACAGCAGTTTTCTAAAACAGAAAAGATTATTTACTATACACAATAAAAGCCTCTCCATAAAAATGTAATAATAGATCTGTCACACAATATACTGCATGTTTGATTTACATATAGAAGTCGTTCATTGTGCAATAGGACATATTTGGCACAAAGGCAATATAACAGTAGACAATCTACACAAAAGTCACAACAGTGGGTTGAATTGACTGCTTTAGATAAGTTGTTTATTTAGTGAAGTGACGGCTGTGATGAATGCAACACAGTTAATAATAATTACATTTATTATATTTCAATTATTTATGTTTGTGTCTGTGTTGTGAAGTTTTCTTATCATTTTGCTATATGTAAAAATATATGAATATTATTTCAATTGAGTCAAAGTATGATGGGATAATCTTCATAGCCAATATACAGGCATAGGGGAGGGGTAAGCCCTGGACACTTTTTAAACTAATAATCTTTTTAACAATAGTTAGTATAGTTACCTGCAATACATGTGTTTTTTTCTAAATTTTCTCTATTCTTTATGAGATTTTTAATCTTTTCATCCTAGAAAAACTGGCAGTATAGGTTTAATGAGCTATTAATAAAGGGCCTTGCATTACGAGATTTTATTTTGTTCTTTTCCATATCCTGACACCGTCCACAACTCAACTTGAGCCTGCAAAGTCAACGCAAAAAAAACACCACACCAATTCTTCATTTTTTTTGATACAGTGGCTTGTAATAATGATTTTGCCACTTGTTTCTTGGTTTTTGCTTGATTTTTTTTGTGGATCTCACACTTAAATGTTTGAAAAAAAAAAAAAAAAACAATCACAGAAGTAGTAAGACAACATGAATCCCATGCCACAATCTGAAGAAAATAAAGAGCAGGTGAAAAAACGAAGCCACTAATATTTAGCTTTCGTTAAAAAGCTAATGAAGTATTTTAATGGGAAACCCCTCTTGAGAAAAAATGAAATACATGTACAGCCTATAAATAACCTTTTATAATCCCCAGGAGGTTTGGAAAAATTACCCTCTGGACTGAAGAAACAAAAGTGGATTTTTGGAAAGGTATCTGGTGCAAAACTGACAAAGAAATTTAGAAAAACAGAAATAAAAGCAATGCTCTAACATGGCGGTGGGGTGTAATGGGTGTAATAATCTAGAATGTTTCATTTGTTTACAGTCATGCTTGTTTCCTGCCTGTTCTGGAACATTCTATAACCTTCCAAAATATCTTAAACCTTTTTTTTTTTTTGCAGTATTTTGCAGTATGATCTTGAATGTTCTGGTTAGTTCTGAATTTCTCTGGAAGTTTCTGATCCTTGCATTTTCCACAAAGTTCTAGAATATTGTACTGTATGTGAACATTGCGCCTTACGTCATGCAGCCAGGTGGAGCTCTGAGCTGGTCACACTTGCTGGTTTGAACCTGTATTGTAGGCAACTGGTTTCTGTTAATAACACATTCATCACTGAAGAACACCTGTCTCTGTGTAAGTAAACAAAAACCACAAAAGGAGAATCTCTGACTAACAGTTTGAGCTTAATCACAAAATGAATTTGTGTCATTCTGTAGGACAATGCTCCAAACAACCTCCAGTAAAATCAAGTTTTTATTGAATACTTGAAGGGGAAATAAGAGTTTGGAAAAGCCAATTTAAAGCCAAGATATAAATCTGGTTTATGTCCAATCGCATAACATTAAATAGGCCTTTTATACTCAAATAACATTTCCTAATTAAAAAAAACAGTTTGACGCAGAGTGAGTCAAAAATTCTAGATTCCCCCAGAGTTATGTAAAACACTGATTGATGAAGCCAAAGGTAGAACAATCAGTTATGACATTTAGAGAGATATTACCTTTTCCCATGGGGGAAGATTAATTTGAGTATATTTTATTTAATAAAAAAAAATAATTTGAAAATGTTGTCGTACATTTACTCAAGTTATCTTGATTTGATCTTAAAATATGTTTGATTATCTCAAACATTTAAGTGTGATTAAAATGATAAAAACGAGACGTCTGTAAAAGGGGCAACCATCTCCCCAAACATGCATTTGTTTGTTTTATTTATCTTTGATAGTTTTGCTTTTTTATTTTTCAAGTCACAATAACTAACAAGGTGCATCGAAGGTACAGTACCTTTCTACAGTTAAAAAAGATGATGGTTGTAGAAGCATATACTTGTCTAGGAGCTCAAAAGATGAGCAAATTCTCACAGTACTGGTTTCTGATGTAAATATGGAATGACTCAAACATGCACCAAAGAAGCTGGCTGTGTCTTTTCGCTGTTGGTAACCAACTCATAATGGAAACGAATCTCCGATACAGAACATATTCCCTCTGCAAGACTGAGCTAAACAACATAGTATTGTCATCAGCATACCTGGTGAAAATCCAATAAGAAGTGACAAATAATTGCACCTGCTGCTTTTCTATCTACCTGCAGCTGCCAGCTGAGCTGCTGTGCTAACAATAACTTTTAGATCAAGACAAAGAAAAAAAAAGATGTCTATCCCCTTCTTTAATATTACACACAATCTGAAAAATGATTTTGTCAGGATCTCTACTAATGAAAAAATATGATGTTATTGCTTACGTAAAGTTAAGTGATTAATGCTTCAGGCTCCATAAATCCAGCTAACAGTTAGCAGTTGGTAACATATGATTCAAAACTCTCAGTTGATCTTAAAAAAAAGTAAAATAATTACTTCCAAATAGTTCAAGCATTGGATGTGTCTGTGCATTAACATCCAGCATTTTTGTTTGCATTTTAAATTCTTATGTACATTTTTTGTAACTGATTCTCTTAGTAGCATCATGAAAATACAAAAAAAGATTAAATCCCCAAATTGCCTTCAATTAATTTCTTATCTCATATAATATTATAGTTAATGTATGTATATTTATGCACACAGTACTAAACTGACTCCGCCATCTGTTATTCTCTAAACAATAAAACATTTATTTGTCTTTTATAAATCATCTAATGTATTTGATATACTAATTTTAACATAGCTTTATGTAATCTATGAATAGATTTTTTTTTTTTTTTTACAATATTTCATTTTCTTTGTAAACAGGTTTATTTCTACATGAAAATGGCCCCATTTCAATTTCCTCACCTTGACGATGGGGTTTATTTCCATTTTGCATAACAAACAAGAATGCCACTGTGCTCTATTTCTTTCTTTTTTTCTTGGATGTGCAAATGTTTTAAATACATACATCACTGTTGCTAAAGACAGGACTGACAGAAACATGCCAGGTTTACTATTATTAGTTGTGCATTACCAGAAAACAACTGTAAGCATAAATTTCAATATTCTGAAAAGGCAAATGGAGCATAAAGCGAAGCTTGAGGCTCGTTCTTGTTGGAGAACACGATCTGCTGATGTCTCTCACAGTTCAAGGCCCAGTCGCTCAATCTCCTCGATCAGGAAGTCGATGTCTGACCTGGTGGCTGCAGGGTTTGAGATCACCATGCGGAAGAAGTTGACTTTGTCTCCTTGCGGTTGGTAACCAACCATGGTGGTGCCAGACTCCATCATCAAAGCCTTGATCTTGGGAGCCACCTATATTGCAAATATTGTGCAGTTAGAAAATTATTCTAAAGTGTCTTAAGAAGGAGCAGACAACCCTTTAACTTTTTTCAAACCTTCTCATGTTAAAACCACAGGGATAAATCTCTACTGCTGGGATTTTAAATAGAGTGAAAAGAAAATTGTTCTTCACTGTGAAGAGGAGGGAAAATAACATTGATTTTCAAACTAAATGAAATGAGAGAGTAGAAAAGTGTGGTGAGTATTTCTATTTAGAAAATCCTAAATAAATCCATTTAAACTAATTGCTTTCTGAGGTTATCTAAACAAAAAACAAGGTCCAACTGTGTATAAATTATTCTCCAGCTTTTCTTTAAAGAGCTCAGGGATTTGCTAGATACACTTTAGTTAACCAATATGGTGGGTCAATAAGAAAGCTGGGAAAAGATTTGAAGCATAAAACAATAATCCAAAAATCTCACACAGCACTTCTTAATCCATGATCTGAAAATGTAAAACAATTTGGCTCAACTTTAACCCGTATGAGCCTTAATGGGCTCTTTGGACCCGGTGGGATTTAATGACTTCGGCTAAAAGTTATCAAAGTTCTAGCAATATTTTCAAATGTAAAGGTCAAAAATAAAGCATTAGTACTTTTTTTTACAGTAATTATAAGAAATATATTTTTAATGAGTTTATTTTTTTGTCTTTGTTTTTCAACCTGCCTGCTTTATAAACATAATTTTCTATCAAATCTAAATGGGACATTAAAGAAAACATATGAATTCCTTTGTATGTAAGAGCTTGATCTTGTTTAACTCTAAAACTACTAGAAAATAAAAGACTGATATCCTAGAGGACAAACCTATCAAGAAAGTCTTTGGGATTTTATACAAATGCATTTCAAGCAAAAAACAACGTTATAGCATACATCCTTTCCGTCTCACAAGTTGTTCTCACATAAAATTGCCCTAAAAAGATACAATTTTTTCAAAATATAAAATGTATGACAGGTGTGAATTATTTTGCGTGGCTCTGTGAACCACTAAAAGACTTCTTTCCAATTGACATGTGAGTGTGTTCATGACTGAGCCATGTGTCAGGAGAGGAGTCTGCAAAGATCCTTAATTTGCAGAGTAATGAGTCATTACCTTGTGCAGTCTCTCGCACTTCTCTTTGCCATCAGGCATGCCGCGAAGGCTCGGTGGAATGTACCAGAAGCAGACATTAGTGTGCTGTGGCTGATAAGAGAAAACATTTGAAACGGTGCTGCTTGTCACTGTGTCAGCAAAGTAAAATGATCTAATCAGTTCCAAAACCAGCGTAATCATGAATATGGCCTCATTAGGTAGATAAAAGCCTTTTGGAAATTGGAAGCATGGAAACAGCTTTAACCTTACCTCTGATTTGAAAACCATCTCAAATCCCTCTCTGTTTTTGATCCTGTCGTAGAGGTACATCGACAGATCCAAGCACTTATCAATGTGCTGCTCAAATCCTACTGTTCCCTAATTTTGTAGACAAAAGAAAAATGAAATCACATTCAGTTGTGAAATATGGGACAGTCTGACAATGAGCAAAATCAAATAAATTCTAACCTTAGCCTTCCACATGAGCCAGAACTTGAAGATATCAACATGGCGGCCACACTGAATGGCTTTATCCCCTGTGTCATATGAAACATCATACTGTTTGTCTTGCTGGAACAGGTACCCTGCACACATGGAGTTGCAGCCTTGTAATAGCCCCTGCAGAAAGAACAATGATGATAAGGGACAAACTGTAGCAAAGTGCACCACTTTCAACTTGGGTGATAACAGTAGTATCTGCACAGGTGGAAGAGTGGACAACAAAGTCTTACCCTCTCTCTGACCAGAACGGCAGAGCACTGCAGTGGCACTCCCATCATCTTGTGAGGGTTCCAGGTAACAGAGTTTGCCCTGCAAAGATATGGAAACAGTAATCACATCTGTGTGAGGGATGGAGTGAGTCAAGTAAGCAAAATCAACCATCAAACAAAAGACAAATTATAAGGACATGGTTTCAGTGAGAGCAACCTATAGATTATTAGTCCTTTAAAGAGGAAGAAGCTGAAGCCTTATTATGATTTATGCAACTAATTTGCATGATACGATGATGTTCCCTTAGTTTAAAAAACACTTACAGCGTATAGCAGCATTTGTCGATTGTTGATTACCGGTCTGTTAAGAAAATGTATTTATTGTCATCGTCATTTTACAGTAGTTGATTTTAAGTAGTTGATGTAATCGTGAAGCACTTGGGTCAACTGTTTTTAAACGTGAAATTGAAAGAAGAAAAAGTATATATTATATAATTACAATAATGCTTCTCTTTCGTGTGATACAAATCCTGAATGTCCAGGCGAAATATGCATCTCTTACAAAACTAAAAGCAAGCAGTGATCACAGTTGAGTGATTGGGTTTATGTCTTAAATCCAGCATTTAAATATTCTCCCTATAGATGAGAGATCTAATGCTTTGTGAAACATCTGACAGTGTTACATTTCTGAATATCTGATTTGGATTTCAGTCATGTATTAAAATTCACTTCTCTTCATGGATAGTATGCTAACTTTTTTTTTTTCTACGTGTCTAATATAGTTGCTTTGTAAAACGAAATCAGTGGCAGGAGCATCATACTTTGGAGACAAAACATAAGACATATATGCTGCTGCTATGAAATCTATACAAATGTTACTCAAATGTTAACACAATGACTAGAAAGGTCCTCACAGAGGGAATACCCCATTTTCGAATTTGTTCAGCCAATATTTGTTTAACCCACTGGTTTGTAATCATAGATTTTTTTTTTTTTTTTTTTTTACAGTGTCCTGTCTGGCAATGTGGCGATAATAATAATAATTGTCTTGATGCCAAAAGAGCCCAACAGATTTTACTTTCACAAGTGGAGCAGTAGGGCTATTGCCATAGTGTTCTGCTTGTTTCATGCATATAAATTGCCTTATTATAATTATGCAGGGAGTTTTACAGATTATATGGACACTGCAATGTAAGTAGAACAGGAAAGGAAAAACAGAAAAAAGATGAAAGAAAGAGGAGATGATAAAACATTTTCAGTCTGCTTCATCACCTGCAAAGAGATGTAAAAAGAACAGCACAACCAACGGACACGGTGCAAGACATACAATAAAGTAACACCTAGATACTCTCGCTGAAGTATAAGTAGTATAATTTAATCTGACATGTACTCTGTATTACCTGAAGATAAGAATAATGGCTTTCTGTATGGAAGTGAATCTCTGAGTACCTGCTAATCATAGATTTAATATAAAGCTTATGGTCCAGTTTCTTATTAAGGGTGGAAAAAAAAGGGACAAACGGAAGTGAAGTCCTGCCAATTTATGTGTACAATCTACACATGGGATATAAAAAATGAGGTCACTTCATTAAACCATATATAGTATTTACTTAAAAATACCAAATGTTTCATATAATGTACTTTGTCATACTATTGTTAAAAAAAAAAAAAAAAAAAAAAGCAAATCCTTTGTTTTTTGTTCAGAATATGACATTGTCTTCAAATGAATAAAATTCCAGGATTAAATTTACCTTTCCACTCCATTCAGTTTGTGTTTGTGTTTCCTGGACATCAGCAAACCTCCTCCCCATGCAGCCTGCACAGTACAAAATGCTCTATTAGGATAACCCTAAAAATACTGATGAAAGTGGTGCAATGGATATTAAACATTTTATTTTGAGTTGTGATTAACATAATTATTCACTTACATCCACATGAAGCCATATGTTATATTTTTCACAGATGTCTGCAATCTCATTAATGGGGTCAAAAGCTCCATAGACAGTGGTACCGGCAGTGGCATTCACAAACATTGGAACATACCCCTGAAGGACAAAAGCAGGAGAGAAAAGGTGTCTGAGCTCTAGGTTCAACTTTCTTTTTGGCTCAGAGTGACTGTTTATGTCAAAGCGACGTGCAGAGAAAAAAAAATTGTTAAAGAAACCCATTTTTGGCATTGCATTTCCATTTCTTCTACTCTGTGCATCACAGAAATGACTTCCTGGTGAGGCATTTTAAAACTACTGTAGCATGATAATGTGAAGTGAGGGCAGCAGTGGTCCCATTAAAGGTGCCTCTCTGCCCTGGCGCACAAAGCTGGAGCTCATATGAGTGTTTTTTATTGTAGAAAGTAATGGACAGAGGGAAAGAAAAAGATTTCAGAGGTGATGTTAGAGGCCTACTTTTACCTTTTGCTTGGCCTCAATTACTTTTGCCTCCAGATCAGCAGGAATGACTCTCCCTCTGGAAAAAAAATATGGAGGCATCATTATAATTATCATCATTTTTGTTGTAATATTATTTGCTGAACTTTAAGAGATCAAAGCTAAAACAAACCTCTCATCTGTGTTTAGAAGGATAAGGTTCTCTGTTCCAAAGCCTAGAGCTGCACTTGCTTTCTTTATGGAATAGTGGCTCTGCAGGAACAAAAAAAAATAAATAATTACCAGTCACACACAATTAATCCACTTTAATGTCAGCTCAGGTCTATTTGCATAAGTTAAGATGATCAGGGATAATTTTGGACTAACATGCTCTGAAGTGAAGAGCACCAGCCGGGGTGCTGCTGCCATGCCTTTGGTTTTGACTTCAGGGAAGAACTTGTATCTGGCTATCATCACGCTGTACATGTTGGAGATGGCACCGCCTATAGAGTCCAACAGTGTGCATATTTACAATCATGTGAACAGAAAGAGAAATTGCATTCTACCACAGTAAAGTAACAGCAAGACAACATACTTTTGCTTACCACACAGTGTTGTATATATCTTTTGCTCATTTTGCTCCCTTTTTGGCCTAAAATCCAGAGTCCACAACAGTGTAATTTCTTTATGCTGCGTTCACACCGGGGGCAGCTGGCGCGACAGAAGCAGCGAGTTTACATGCAAAGTCAATGGTTGACGCGCAGCAAAAGGTCCTGCGGCGCGTTTCGAGCAGCAAGCGCAGCGCGTCTGAGCAGCTGAAGCAGCGCGTCGGGCGCGTTTTGGTATGGCAAGCCAAGAAGGTCATATTTCACATTGAATTGTCGCGTTAAGATTGAAGGTAACCCGCAAAAAACGCGCATTCTCCCGAGATTACGCCGCTTTTTACGCCGTCTTTTACCAACAAGCGCCGCCTTTTACGCGCGTCATGATAGTACCACAAGACGCGCACAAAGCAAAGGCATCGCATTGAAGGCGGTCACTTAAGTCACCACGCCACTTCTCAGTAGTATTAAGTGGTGAAACATTCCTAGTAATACCTGTGGATACAAAACATTAGTTGGCGATGCATGTTGATGCAAAACGTTTTTACGTGAAAATAGGCATGGAATGGATTCAAAATAACAGCAAAGTGTAAGTAGTGGATATATTCCTAAAATTAAGGCTTTGTGAAACGGCAATGCAGTGAATTCTGGCAATGCTGCAACATTGAGCTCTGTGCAGTTTTCCACAAAGCAGATCTGTGCTGAACTTTCTTGGTCTGGCTGCCTTGATCAGAGATTGGATGCAACCAGTTCAAATGCATTGGCTGTGGGAAAAGAAGGAAGGACATCATTATCATATTAGGAAAACGCGCGTTAAATACGCGCGTTGTGACCAACACAACGCGCGTATTTAACACGCGTTCTGACCGACACAACGCGCGTATTCAACGCGCGTCTTGCGGTACTATCATGACGCGCGTAAAAGGCGGCGCTTGTTGGTAAAAGACGGCGTAAAAAGCGGCGTAATCTCGGGAGAACGCGCGTTTTTTGCGGGTTAACTTCAATTTTAACGCGACAATTCAATGCGAAATATGACCTTCTTGGCTTGCCATATTTTGGCATCTGACGCGCGTGACGCGCCGCAAACGCGTTGCTGCTCGAGATGGAAAAATTGAATTTTTGCTGCTCGACGCGCCGCGTCAACCAATCAGAGAAGCTGATCTGGGAGCTGGCTGGGAGAGAGACACAGCGCTGATGACACAGACCGCTCTGATTACTCCTCTTAAACAGTTTATTAACGCATAATTAACTTAAAATATATACATCTGCCGGCAGAATATGTTCGCTTTTATTATTGTGGTGCCTGCAGATCGGATTATTTAGATGAAAAACACCTACCAGCCGCCGCGGTAAACCGCGAGGAGGCGACCCGCCAGAGGCTGCTGATGAATGGATTCCTTCTGTCGGCGCACCGCCGGTATGTGGGGGTCTGAGCGGCTCCGACAGAAATAATATTGGGAGGCAGGATCGTAATCTGGATGAACTGACTGCACTGATGAAGTTTTCAGGTGTATTTTCTCAGTTTAAAAACATATTAAAACTACTTTATTCCCACTGATCACAGCAAATATAGCTGCAAGGCAGAGAAAGTATAGTGAAGCTCCGCCCAACGCGCGTCAGAGCCACTTTTGGACCGCGCAGGCAGAGCAGCAAAGCTGCTTCAGCCGCGCGTCAGAACTAATATGGTACAAGCAGCAAAAATGAAGCAGCAGACGCGATTTTGCTGCTTTTGCTGCCCCCGGTGTGAACGCACCATTAGAGTTTTGCCTCATGCTTCTGAAGTAGCGCATAGACTGATTTACAAACATCTCATTGCTTTGTTTACTCTCTGCATGACTGGTTTCAACAACGTTGGCTTTCCGATTAAACCTGGACTGTTAATGACTGAATTCATTCTGCATTTCATTTCTCATTTCTATGACCAGCAAAAAGATATCAACAGAAAAATGCATCGATAAGAGCAACTAAAACAGGCTTAAATCAATGGCAACCAGAATCAACCAATCTGTTTTACCTCTTTCTTGAAATGGAAACAGAACACCAAAACCAAAGCTTAAAGGAGTGTTTATACCGTTAAATGCAAGGTTTTTCTGGCATCTTCATGGGAGAAACCAAACTGAAACTGCATTAACACATTGAGAGTACAGGAAAACCAGCAGCTCAGGGCAAAATTTAGCAGTCTACTAGTAGCTCAAGAGCAAACAACACAAATTTGATGACAACAATGTTTAATTTCTAAAGGACAGGGTGCAGTGAAGGTGGCTGTTTATGTTAAAAGTGAGAAGCTAACACTGAGCAGAATGGGGGAGGGTTGGTTTCAGGTTCCCAGCATTTAATTAGGCGCTGAAACTCATTCCATAGAAATTCCAAGCAAGCAATCTCATCGGGATGCAGGCCAACATGTTAACAACTCACATTAAACAATAGACTATTGACCCAGAAGAGGGATGGTCAGGTTGTTTATTTGCATCTGACTTGGAATGCTCCTATAGGAGGAAGGGCCTCAACTACAAGCTTCCAGAATTGACAAAGACTCCAGAATAGGTGTTGAAACGTATTCGCAAAATGTCTGCGTAAATTCTCACTCATCCCAGCCATGGTAACCACAAAGCATGCTTAAGTTGGAAGGCAACCAGACTTTCATTCAGTTTTTGAATACGTTTAGACACCTATCCAGGAGTCTTTGTCAATTCTGACAGTTCGCATCACAACAACCCCTAGTTGGAGGGCTGATGTATTTAAGCAGCATGGAGATCACTTTTCCTGCACACATTCCAAATCAAATGCAAATAAAATAGCTACATTACCTACTGGAACATATACTTCCTGTTTTTAGAACTTAGAAAAAGTTAGAAAACTGATTACAAAATAGAAATTAATAATACAGAAATAATGTTAGGAAATCACTTGAAACCTGTGGTTATCTAAACTGGATGTTTATTTTGGCCCCAATAAGAATTAGCAGGAAGAACAACACTGCAAACACAGAGGAGAAAACAAAGACGCAAAAAGATTATAATTCCATGTGTCAGGAATTACTGTGAAACTCAGAAGGATTTTGTCGCAACCCAACATACTGGTTAATTTTCAAACTGAACAACAGACTCAAACAAAAACTGGTTCATCCTAAAGACAGAAAACCGAAACCCAAACTGAACAGTGTTGTTTATGTGAGTCTGTGCAGCAATGACCATACAGCCTCCTTTAATGGAGAACCTACACAACTACATGAACGCATGGCACAGCGAGTTACTCAACCCGCATTACAAGTGTTTCCATTAAAGATTTAACTGGCCTGGGACCTGTTTAGCTGGTCCCTGCTCAGGAGCAGTTCCAATCAATGTAAGAAAAGAAAAACAGGACGCAGTTCACTGGTTGGCCGTGGGAAAAATACTTTTGTTTACTGAGAAAGTGAAGGGAAAGCATGAGCAACTAGAATGATATAGGGGACCTTAATGAGTCAAAACAGAAATATAATTTTATTATTTGCAAATCAAGACCTAACTTCAAGCTATCAGCAGGTAAATGGAAGTGCAACAGATACGATGCTGAGTGTTAGCTGGGTCTGTGGAAAAGGTGTGAGTTGGTTATGCTTTTACCTGGAGAAAATATTCCATCTCCCTCTCCATTGGGCCAGCCGATTATCTCCCGCATCTTTTTGAGTGTCAGCTGCTCCATTAGCACAAAAACAGGGGCGATCTCATAAGTGAACCTAGAGCAGACAAAATAATCACATAAGTGGTAAAAATTCAACCTGTAGACTTTCCCTACAGAAAAAAACAGCACAGTTTTATGGCTTAAAGTAACACTGACTTCAACAAATCACAATGTCAGCATTAGGTTTATCATAGTACAGATATACAATGACTTTTCATGGGTAGGAACACCTCAATAAGTTGTATCAAAAGAAACTAAAGTGTGAAATTCCAGCTTAAGTGTGACAAACTGAAAGACGCTGCAAGCTGTATTGTACCTTCATCAATAAGAAAGTTGAAAAAGCTGTGTTTTAACAGTTAAATAACTTCCTAACAATGACCAGTTGCTTCCATGCCTTCCACTCAGGCTTTCATGCTCAAAGAACAGACTGCCCTTGTCAAAATGTTCAATGGTATCTGTGTGAAATGCAGACTGTGGAGCCATAGTGCTGGTATTATTGGACCCTGGCTCAACATTTGATACTGTTTAGGACTATTTTATTAGTGGTTGAAAAACTGTGTGGGCTTTTCTGATATAGCACTGGACTGTTTTAAATCCTTTTTAAGGACATGTTTGTGTCAGTACATAACCCCATTAGAGACTAAAAAATACATGAGGTGTTCCCCAAGGATCCATATTAGGTCCCTTCCAAGTCAATACACACAAGCTCCACATACACAGATTATAATACACAAAAGCATAACGTAGCTTACTAAATGCAAACAACGCACCGGCTATACATTATGATGTCACCTGGTGACTATGAACTAGTGTTGCACCGATACTGAAAATACTACACTAAAATGGCGGTATCAGTATCAGCCAGTACCAACAAATATGGCACCAATACCATTTTGATAGCCAAACGTTAATTGAGCTATTGTCACCCATTCCAGGTAGGCAATAAAAAGTTCTACTTGATTCACTTTGTGTTAGTCTTTTTCCTGCTTCACAAAGGTAGGCAACAGCTTGACAAAGCCATGAGGGCAATTATTTTATTCATTCAAGTAGTATGCGGTTCTTCATATATACACGCACATATCAATTTCAAACAGATGGTAACGGTATCACCCAATACTGCACAGGTATCCCAGGTATCGGGTGTCTGGGCCAAAAAATGGCATAGGTGCAACACTACTATGAATCCATTCAAGTACTGGGTAAATGCATAGAGGAAAACAATGCATGGATGTGCCAAATTTTCTGCAACTTATTTCGGAACCAGAGGAAGAGCATTCAATCGGCTGGAAATTTGGGTGTGTTGATGAACTCACACCTGTGCCTTAAGAGACAGCTTTATCACCTGAAGAAAATCTCCAGGATTAAGTGACTAATGTCTTAGCAAGACCTTTATAAATTAATTCATGAGTTCAACGTTTGTAAAACTGATTACTTTAATGTTGTCTTCACAGGTCTGGCTAAGATGTTAATCAAACAGCTGCTGCTACCTGCATCCTCACCGAAACTAAGTAAGTGGAGCACAACGCCCCAGTGCTAAAATCTTCAAACTGGCTCCACGTCTTTCAGAGACAGTGTCATGATCTGGCCTGTTTGCTCTCTCTTAATTAGTCATTCCTTTCACCTGTCGTTTTTCCCTCCCTGCCTCAATTATAATTTATTCCTCTCACCTGTTTCCTCTAGTTTATATTCAGTTCAGCCTGAGCATTCAGTACCAGATCATTGCTTGTCTTTCTGTCAGTCTTTCTGTTCAGTTTTATTTTATGGTTCATGTCCTGGATCCTAGCTGCCAGTGGAAAGAGGGTTTTAGTGTTTGTCTCGTCTCCTGATCGTCCACTGTTCCTCCCCTGCGGAGTCCTCTGGGTTTTTGTTCAGACTGGCCTTTGGCTGCACTAGTTAAACAAAACTAGTTAAGTTTTTAATGCAACTTTCCTTTAATTTTCTTTTGAATAATCAAACATTTTTTGTGATCATGTTATTTTAATTATCATTTTAGTCTTTAATTATTGGTGTTCATAAATGATTTAATCGCCTTTATACCGCTGCAATATACTTTTCCTTTTTTCATGTTCATTCCTTTGACCTGTTTAATCACTGAAATATTCTTTATAAATACACTTGCCTACAGTTGCTAATAAAGTTATTTCATGTTCTTAGATGTATGTTTTGTGTTTTCATCTCTCTTTTTTTAATCAAAAGCTGATGAAAATCTCAAAGAATTACAATTTGTAACATACAGTTGTGTAATACATTAAATAATGATGTTTGTGATGATCTTTTTCCAAATATAATAAACCCTCCTAAAGATTACAGAAACATTTTCAGTATTCGCAGCCACAATGTGATGAAGAAGAGTGATTTTATTATTGCTTTCTTACTTTAAAATGCATCATTTAGTTAAAACCGAGCAGAACTGATAACAATGACCTGCTGTTATGCTCTCCAAGGAGCTCCACGATATTTTTTTATCTCCTCAGAGCATATGGAGCTTGTTCAAATGAGACAAGCATTGTGATGCCTCTCTGCAACACAGTCAATTTGAAATTACAGTACAGGCAGACTCATCCATCTTTTCCAGACCAGTAGTACTCTAATTATATAACTACACCCTCCGTTCATGCAAATCAAGTAAATGAATCTAAGGAAGATTGCAGCACATCTGCCATGAGGCTCCACATTTTAAAGGCAGAAATCCAGACGTGCCATTCATTAATTTTACTGCACTCGTTCCTGCAGACAGGCTACAGTTACTCCGATTATAAGAGAGCGGAAAATGATTGTCAGGCTATTGGTGTCAGTCAATATTAATCTGCGATAATTAGGAATGATGGAATAATTAATAAAAGTAAATTGGAATGTAAGCAACCTCCCACAGGTTCAAAGTGATGTTGCCACCTAGGGAAGGAATTTGATAGAGACTCAATTTTTATCTGATATTTCAAGAAAAGAAGCATTGAGTTTTTCACATTTTGTCACATTACAAATGAAAACCTCCTTGGCTGTAGTTTATTAGTAATTTACAACTAGATTTATCGCTCTGTTGTAGACTGGTGATATATCAAAGGTGTACCCTAGATCTGGCCACTGACTCCTAGAAATATATAGATCTCCCCCCACACCCTCATGTGTGACTCTGCTAGGATAAGCCGGTATAGACAATGGTTATTTGATGCTTTTATATGATGTGTTCTTACACGGGAACAATAAATGTTTTAACCTGAAATTCTATAGCTGGTTTATCCAAAGTAAGGAAATATGTGACATTATTCACCTCAGTCCGATTTGGTTTCAGTTATACCACTATCAGGTTCACATTCAGTGAACCTGATAGTGGTAGCATTATTCTGCCACCTCACGTGGAAGATTTTCAAGATGGGTGGAGCAAATCCAGGACAGTACTTGAAGAAAACCCACCTGAGGCTGAAAGAAACTTCAAACTGGGACTTATGTTTAGTGTTTAACAGGATGTCAGCTCTAAACCAGTGTTCTAAACCCTGCTGCTCTTTTCCTTCATGTTTTATATCTTTTTCTTCACACTCAGCATGGGGATATACAGTCATTTAAATCTGATGTGCATGAGCAGAAACCGGTCTAAAACTGATAGGACAATGAGATTGGATCAGGGTTTTCAAAGACTAAAAGACATGAAAAGTAAAGCAGTAATTATGAATATTTATAAACCTCCTCCATCGCTCTTCTTCTACTACTTTTAATGTACTACTATGAAGAAATATGAAAAGTGTGAAGGGTGTGAGAAGTTTCCCCAGATGCTTTAGTAGAGCTCAGAATCCCTCTAAGAGTGAAAAGTTTTTTTCTACTGTGTGAAAAGAATAATAATTTGTGGCCTCAATGTCCTAAACTGACTGGGTGTTATTTTTTTTTTTTCTTAAAGTCAATTACAGTAAAAGAAAACCCATCCACTCAATCATTAACCCTTATTATTAAAGGTTAATGCATATACCAGTATACAAGTAAGTAAGCAGCTGTTTAACTGTGGCTAATTTACTGTGAAAAACAGCTTTTCAAAAGGAGAAAAATCAAGCATTTCAAGTATATGCTTTTGTGTTAACTGGATGTTTATGTCTGCTTTTGTTTTGCTAAAAATCCCTCAATTGATGAAAGATCCATTGAATTAAGAGTAATTTCTGCAGGACTGCCTAAGTATTCTGCTTTATTTTGTTATTTCTCTTATAGGCATTGAATAAAGCTTTTATGCCCCAGGATCCCAACAACTCCTGTGTTTCAGCTTTACAACATACTGTAGTTGATAGTTTGATTTAGCGATCAGAGAGTTAAAGCCATAAAGGGTGAACAATATAGAAATAAATCTAAGGTTTATGGTATTGATCTCAGTCTGTAGGACCTCTGGGAACCCTGAGCTGACGTTATACCTACATTCATGCAATGGATGGTATCTGTTTATGGGGTACATTGCTGCAAAGTGCATCCAGAATGATGACCACCAGTGTAGCTAAATCAAGCATTTTGTGATTAACTGAAACACGAAACGAATAAAGGGAAATAATTAGTATGAAAACAGGATTTATTGCAGGAGAGACTCCCATAGAGTCCAAGGGACACAGCTACATTATGTACATGTAGCCCAAAGTGAGCTGACAAGTTTTTCCATCCTGAGCATTGTTATGTCACAGGAGAATTAGCATAACAAGAAACAAAGACACCATGTAAACGCTGAATGCTAATCAATATGCAATTTACTTTGCCTGTGGGGTTGAATTATGCGGCAACCCCCCTAAAAGCAAAGGCTAGTATCGACAACAGTGCGTGGGCGTAACTATACTAATGTTCTCGTTTATGTTCTTTTATCTCTTTGCAGGATTGACGGTCCATTAGGGAGTTCTGGGTTTTTCTTCAGCCAAAGGCAGTAATTACTGTCCATCACTTCAACTATTCCTGCAGCTGATAATATCTCCACTTCATGGATCATTGGAAAGCAAATGGGAACAAATACAGAGTGATTTATTCCAACTGTACTTACATATTAGTGTTGGCTGTGGAAGTGAGCCACTCTCCTGCCAAGCCTACGATGTCTAATCCAGTGGACAGCTGGTTAAAGAACCTGGGGTGTCCTGCAGGTGATAAAGAGAAAACACTTAACCATCTGTGAATTAAAAGAAGCCATCGAACAGGGGCGTTCTCAGCATTCCTACCTGTTCTCACTCCATATTTCAGAGTATCCCTGCAATCCACTAGGATTTGCTCCAGAGACTCTGGCTGGTCAGAGAGCTCCAGGTTGAAGCCCTCCATGCCCTCCAACAGCTGGTGAGGATGGTGGAAGTCAAGGACCTTGGTGGATCTATCAAAGGTCTTCCGGATGTAGCTGGTGAGGATTTCAACAACCTCCAGCAAAAACTGCATGGTTGGCTCCTCTCCATTTTTTGAAGGTAGCAGATCTGCAAAAAGGAAAGGACTTGAATTCAGTTCAGGTAGTGACTTTGAAGCACAGACGTGTTCAATTTATATCTACTGACATAATATATCATCAGCTCAATCCAGTTCATAGACATATAGTAAAAGAATAGCATATAAAAATTAAGTTATAATAAAAGATAATAATAACAATTGCACTTAATTGACCTCACATTGAAGAAATTTACCTCTGCATTTAACCCATCCCCTTGGGGAGCAGTGGGCTGCCATCGTGGGGCACCTTGGCAGCTATGTGGGGTTAAGGGTTTTGCTCAGAGAACCAGAGTGGCAGTCTGTGGGAGTGGGGCTGAACTCAGAACCTCAAGAAGCTCTGTGCCCTAACCACTCCCCACCTTAAATGCATTCTTTGTGTATTCTGGCATGTATTGAAAAACCCTTGTAAACCTCCATTCTAGTCTATTGCAGTCTCAATTCTGGTATTGACTCCTCTGAAACTCTACCCACCTTTCTAAAAACTGAACAGCTCCCTTGTCCTGTGGAAAAATACTACCCTTGAGGCACTGCTCTATGATTGCCATGTGTTATTATATTACTGGGGTACTCTGGGTGATGTTTCACTTCTTTCACTGCCATTCCTGTAGTTTTGCTTGTAGAAAAAAAAAGTCTATCTTTGGTCAGATCAGAACACCTTCTGTGATTGCTGTAGACCATCCATGGCATGCAGCAAACTGCATTAATAACTTCTTTCAACAAATGCTTCCTCTTCAGCAGTCTGCAGTGAGGTGTTCCCCTCAACAGATTCTTCCAGAACTTTCCAGCAGAATGAATGAATCCCATTGATTTTGCATCTAAAGGCTGAACTTGACTCTTTTTTTGTCAGATATGAGAAGGAGATGGCTAAATTCAATTCCAAACCACACTGTTTAGATTGTAGTCGTAAAAAAGTATTAAAATATATCTTATTTTTTATTGATTCATATAGCATCTACAGCACATTAACGTGCTTTAGCAGCATCACAGCTTTTTTATATTTTGTTTATCCATCTTTGTAAATTTGATTGCACCAGCTTAATAAGGAATGCCAGTACATGCAACAAGTCCCGATGTTGATCTTTTGTTTGAATCTTTTTTAAAAGGCTTTAAGATACTTTGCAGAAACCTACCTCTGGCATAAAGGTTGGAGAAGTCGGTCTCAGTCCGTCTGAAATGCGCATCTCCTCCTGCGTTATCACAGGCCATCAGGTTTTTAGCCGTGCGCTCCTTCAAGGAGCCCACAGTCCTGCCCCTCTCCTCCAGACTGTTGTTCTTCTGCAGAAACCCTGAACGATCACAAGTAGGAGACGTATCCGAAGGATGGCCAAACATGCCCAAACAGGACAGGATTGTGTAAAAAGGCAGAAAAAGAGCTCAGAGAAACGTGTTTTTTCCTGCTTTAAAAAAAAAAAAAAAAATGATCTTCTCCCCCCTGCTCTTCGGGGTGGTCTAATTTCAGAGTGAGCCATCCGTCCCCTATTTATATGCTGGAGGTGGAGGGGGAGGGGGCTCAGGAAGGTTAGCCCCGCGGTGACATCAGCACCAAACTCCAGTCAAGCAAAAACAGACCGCTGTCATGTACAGGCTGTAAATCCCCATTAAAGCGTGAGATTTTTCACAGCAGCTGGCAGTGGGGAGCCCAACAGGCTATATAAGGAAAAACCACAGGAGCGCCTTTCAGCAGGCCTTTTGGAGTCTATCCTCAAGATAATAAAAGAATACAGTCTATAAAATGTTAAAGTTCAGCATAATTTTGCTTTATTATAATTTTAATATTTTTTTTTTTATAATTGTGTGATGGTGAAGATTCTCAGTCATCCAGGTCATAGTTATTCCAAAAAAAGTTTAAAAAAAAAAACAAAAAAACTTTGAAAATAAAGTCCAGTGGGTTGTTTTTTAAACCTTTATTGAATTAAAATTTTATTTACTTTTTGCTGATTTTGTTGCGATTGACATTTTATATCATTTAAGGTAGCCTAATTAAATGGTCTTAATAGAGAGCAGCAGAAAGCTGCGCAGCGCACTGGTGCGTGTTGCTCAACATGCAGCGCAGTTGTCACAAGTAGTGACAACTACACTGCAAAAACGTTCTAGAAATGAGCAAAAATGGCTTAAATTAAGTGTATTTAGATAATGTGCTTTTGAAATAGGACGATGAAATTGTTTTTTTCGTATTTTAAATGTAAATTGTCTTGTTCCATTGGCAAAGTGTCTCACTTACCTCCTCGTTTAAAAAAAGCACTTATTGCAAGAAAAAAAATGACTTATTTAGATTTCAATTTTTTTGCAGTGTAGTGAGTACAGTAAGGCAGCACAAGAAACGTGCTGCCAAACACAAAAACAGTAGAATTTTTTTTCCACTTTGTTGCTAAATCTGAAGATTTTTTTTTTTTCAGGGCAAAATTATCAGGATTTCTTTTTTGTTTAACTTTTGTGAAGCTACCTCATACTGCTGCAGGTTCGCAGTGTAAATAATTACAGTTATATGACCCGAATAGGAACATTAACAGGATGCTTGAAATGTGAGCCATTTTTTATTATTTGATTCATTTAATTCAAAAAGTAGGCTAGGCTATATAGGTTATTCTTCCTCGATAAATGCAGTCTTCCACAGAATAGAGGAAAAGCTAAAGGGAGTTTAATGTGTTTTGTTTTTTGGGGAAAAGGATGTTTAATTCTAACTGGAGAAATCTGGAGCTCTTTGCTTAAACTTAACATTATATTAAAATTAACACGCAGGAGGTAGGCTACTTCATAAATGGGAAGATAAACGATGTTTGGTGTATCATTTTACAAAAAAAAAAAAAAAAAAAATTATAACTTACCACAGATCTTCATTCCCAATTTCCTGGTACATCCATGAGCAACTCCACACCACGCATCATAACCTGACATTAATTATAGGGGAAATAATGTCTTTTAGAAATATACTCTCCTTATAATCATTACGTTTTGGACTTGCTTATTATATGGAAATGTGCGTGAGATCCAGTGATACAGCGTGCAGGAAAAATAATTATATTTTTAAGATTAGCATTATTGAATTTATCAGGATTTCCCTGCATGGTCAACCGTGCGTCACCCGTTCATCATCCACGGGCCTTCTACATTAATTAGACGTTAAAGAAGGGACCAGCTTGCTGGACTGTTAGTGCAAAAATGCTGGTTAAAAAAAAGGGGCTTCTGCAGACATCAGGCGTCTGGTTGATGACAGATAGAGAATTACTGCGTTATCAGGGGCTTCCAGAGGGGATGGGGCACCTTGGATGGAAAGCAAAAGATACAATTCTCAATAGAATGCTATTTCAGGGAGGGGTGGGGGAGGATTTGGTGATCATTTCTATTCCCACATACCATTTTAACCCTTGCCTCGGACCATTAGACAGATCATTGCCCCAACTGCTCAGCGCACCTTGACAGATTTTTCCCCAAAAAGCTGCAGATGGGTGAACGGATCAGACCGGGAAATTCATTTTGGGCGCAAAAGTAGTCAGATAAATGAAGGGCTTAATTATTTTGAGAAAAAAAGAGATAGGGAAATTTATATGCGTTATATTCTCTATAGAATTCAAATAATATAATATATCTTATGCATGACCAAATTAAAAAATATTTTTTTTTCAAATTATCCTCGATATTTAAATTATTATTGTATTTTTTTTTTTTTTTAAAGCTTTAGGCGACTGATAACAAAAGCCTGGCAGAGCTGAGTGGTCTCTTTCTCTTTCCATCTTGTCCCAAAAGCTACAATGCTCTAGAGAGCCATTAGAGTCCATTTAATGTGACTGAATTAGCTGGCAATCAGGGGCACCTTCATTCAATAATGCAGAGTGCATCCATTATGATGAATGAATGAAGAATAATAATAATGATAATAATAATAATAATTCTAGTAATAATAATGCCTCCAGGGTATGTTTTGTCTGCCACCAAGGAGGCAGTGAATTGTAGCAATAGACTTTTACCCCCGCCCTCTTTTCCTCCCTCTATCCCCCCCAACCCAACACACACACACACGCACACACACACACCCGCCCCCCATCGACGAAAATGATTAATGGCTGATGGCCACAAAGTAAATAGCACAAGTGAAAAAAAGCATTTTATCGCTGATGGACCTACTTGAGCCCGGCGGCCGTAAATTTGTCGAGTTGGGATCCGCTCCTGCGCCGGAGGAAGAGGAGGAGGAAGAAGGTGCAGACGCCGCCATCACTCCCAGAGACCCTGAGCCAGAGTCAAGAAAGCCTGGTGACTTTTCTATCTCTCTCTTTTTTTCCTTTTTCTCCTCCCTGCTTCTTTTAAAGCTGAAAGGGAAGGATAATGGTTAGTAAAATATGCCCAAATAAATATGAGTCACTCAAAAAACAGATGATCATATTGAACAAGGACACATTCTGCCTCAGAAGTTGAGAATCCAAAATGCAAAATGCAATACAACAAAAAGTGCATGTCAGAAACCTTTATTTGAAATATAATAATACCCTATTTTAATGACTTAATGTTCACTCATAGACACGTGTTTAATATTTCCAATCGCAGTCATCTGGTCATCTTGACGTCTACAATAATTGAAAATAAAAATAAGAATTCAACAGAGGCAAAAGGCAAAGGAAGGTTCTAAAAATATTACATTCCTTTTGCTCTCTGTGCCTTTAATGGAATGGTCCTAACGCCTCCGAATGACAAAAGACAGGTTCAAGGTTATTTCGGGTTATAGGTAAAAAAACCAAAACAACAACTAATAATTGAATTTGTTTTCTTTTTTTTGTTTTCAGAAACAATTAACTTATGTAGCATAAAAAGACAGCCAATCTGTACAAACACCAGACAAACAACCAGTTAACATCTATTAAAAGGAGAAGAAGGGGGAAAAAAAACACCTGTTAGAGCATCTCTGGTAAATGAGCTGCTTCAGTTTTTACTGTTCCAACTCCAAAATGTAAGCCCACTTACCGTGGTGAAAAGTGTCCAGGTGACCAAGTGCAGTACCCCCCCAAAAATGAAAAAAAAGTGTGAATTTACAGCCAAAATAAATCCTGAAGGAGAGCTCCCACTACACCGAGGCAAGGAAGAGGAGAAAAGCTGAGCTCCAGCTTTCCCATAGATCCCACTCAAGGTGACCCCGATCACCAGTAGAGATAGAGCTTTAAATTCCTTTTATTCTAAGGAAGTAAACAATTTTTGGTTTTTGTATAGGCGCACCGGTGAATCACAGCAATGAGCTCTTAAGCAGCACCTGAAGCTGCTTCGGTGCAGCAAAGGCAGCTGTTTGCAGACTGTCTGCGCGCTTGGTTCCAAATGGCGCCGCTTTCGGCCCCAAAGTGCGACTTTCCCCGGAGTGATGATTGCTTTCTATTAAGGTCTGATTGTGCTCCTGGTCACGGACATGATGTTTGGTGCTAGATGGAAAAAAACACACTACGTGAGGAGGGATGAGGGTAGAAGAAGGAGGGAGGAGGGAGATTTGGTTTTGTTCTGGGGAGGGGGGGTATGAGAGAAAGCACCCAAATATGATTTAATTAGGGCAATTTGTGTAAATGCATCCTCTCTGAAAACTTTTATTTCATTTTTTTTCAACAATATCGGAATAGTTCATAATCATTCAATTTGATATGAACATGCGCCTAATTATTTTGCGCCCGTCACATCTTATTTCCATTCTTCAACTCCTGACCGACAGGTGTTGATATAACCTGCGACACATCCAATGAGCAGGACAAAATGTGTCCACAAGGTGGCAGTGAGAACCCAGAAATGATTCAGGCAGGAGCACAAGGGACACACTAGTGGACACAAAACCCAACGCATGAAAAGATCACAAGCTCGCAGTCTAGCGCTGATTTGTTGCCTCAGCTGGAGATAAATCGAGTTAGAGGCCGATTAAAAAGGTCGAGTCACATGTTGAGCTGCACACTGTAGTTAAAACCGGGGATAGATGGTTGGGATTTCAGCACTGGACAGCTCCATTAAACTCTCCCATTCAGGACATTCAGGCTTGTCCACGCTGTTTACCTGCTGTGAGACACTCAGGTGTTGCAGTTTCAGAGCTAATTTGGCAAATAATGTATTTAGATTGGTTTAGAGTCTGCAACACGAAAGACTTGATTGTTATGTAAACTAAGCTAACCAGAAAAACTGGGAAACAGGATGGAAACAGGCTTACTCAAGTAAAAGTGGAAAAGTACAAAAGTCTTTCTTTATTCGGTTAAACACTGTAATTCTCCCTTATGTCTCAGTAGCCCTGATAATGAAGACGTAATAATCACTTGGACGTTTGGCAGATACGTTTGAAAGTTATTGGAGATCCATATAGAATATTAATAAATATTATTCATTATTATTTTTTTCTCCGACATTCCTGTTCATTGAAAGATAAAACATACAATTGGCAGTATTAAAGAGCACAGGAAGACGTATAATACAGTTTTAATCATACATGGATAATAATGTATGTTTCAGAAGATAGTAGACCATAACACAATGGAAAATGGAAAAATACTTTTTAGAATGAGCATTTTTAAATAATAGGTAGGGTGTTCAAAAACACTAGGAAATAAATGCCAAAAAGAATGATAGGTTCAACAGCTGAACATTAACCTTTTTTTAGGATGAATTATTCCACACCTTAGGTAAAAGTATTCACAGTACTTCAATGTTGCCAATTGTGTCATGTCTCAACCACAAACCTCAAACTAGTTAGTTTGGATTTTGTTTGGTAAACCATCACAGTGGCTATCATTTAATTTCCTGACATCTAAAATAAAATCCAGGGGAACCAAATCACCTTTCTGAAAACAAATTCCCACAGTGTGGGAAAAGCTATGAAAGAGTAAGATACAACCTGAAACCTAGAACACATAGCTGATTATGTAAAGTCACAGACCAAGAGGGAGGAGACTATGTTGGAGAAGGAGCCAGGAGGCTAATGCTAACTCCGGAGGAGCTTAAGAGACCCACTGCTCAAATGAGAGACTTTTTCTCAGGGAGAGACAGGATCAGGTGATCAGATGATAAAGATCCCAGATGGAAAACCACCACCAGGATGGAAGACTTCAGATTGAGGCAGAGGTTCTTGACCCTAAACACAGATCCTGTCTGTTGCAAAATCTACCTGATCTGAGCTTGATTTTATTTTTAAGGAACAATAAGCAGGTATTTTAGTCTAGATACTCAAAGCTGGAAATTGTCATAAAATTTAATTTCAAAACACGTTAAAATAAATGGGCTATACTCAGATGCATGCAAAATTTTTCCCTTTTTTTAATTTGTAAAATATTTTGAAGAGCAACCATCATGATGGTCTAACAATACTTTGTAACATAGGGGTCATTATTGTGGTGCCCACAGGCACCAAGAGGTCCTCGGGGATCACATGGAAGGCCCTCAGCAAATTCTGAAAACAAAACGACTCATCAGTGGGCTGAGTTTGAAATTTTATTTTACTCCGTTGCTCTTCTTTTAGAATCATTAATAGAGCATTTAATTAAATATTGGCCCCCGTTGTAACCTGTAAATAAAAGACTAAGCATATCTTGATAGGAACTCATTGTGGACTAAATTGTAACGATAATTTTTTTTTCTGCTCTTGCAGCTCTACAGTGGTAGCCATTCAAAATTTCCCCACTTTCCTGGATGGGCCCTTGGCTGATCTTCGTTGGTCCCTTACAATTCCTTTTTAAACATCAATCTTTGTACAAAGATATTATTTCTGTCATGATTTGTGGACAATAATATCTAAAGAGAAGCACCTTCTCCTGGTCGCCTGGTCGGACCCTGTAATACAGTGAAAGGATGATTCAATGTAAAAAAATATGCAGGTCCAGGAAGGGGGGCTGTTCAGTACTCCAGATGGCTGCAAGTTGGAGGGGATTTTGCTGGGAGTTGCAGGGAAGTGTTCTTCCATTTGGCTGGAGTTTGAGGGCGAAGGGTCATTTTGAATGGCTGCTGTTGTATGCACAATTTGGTGCTCTAGTCACAGATGCAGGTTAAAACATTTGCATTAAACAATATGAATCATATTCAAATAGAGAAATGCATGCCTATTTTACATTTAATCCTAAATTATTCAAGCTACTATTTATACATGATGAGGATACTATCAGTAGTTGGAAAGATGCAGGTTGTTTTTCTTTCAAGTGTCCACAAGAGGGAGCACTACACGAATAGAGAGGGTGAAAGGGAGTGATTGATGATCTGCTTAAAGATGTATGCTTGTGATGGTTATTGTTTTCAGAGTGATTTAAGAACATTTGAAGACATCTCTCATAAAAAGAAATATAATCATAATTCTAATGTTCTTCTTTGTGTCTCTGTAACAGCTGGTGCAACCGAGCCTGTTAACTTATTATGTGTTCACAAAAGGCCTAACTTTACCATTTCATATGATGGGCTGATGGGGAGGATTAATATCCAAAGGTAACAACTCCACCAATGAATGAATGGGATTTTAGTAAGAATTTAAAAGGCATAGATTAATTCAAAGAAAAGTAAAAGTTAAACACCTGCTGGGAGAAGCTGCACTCTGACGTGTGAAGAGAAACCTGCAGCTCAGAGCTGAGGATTTGGGATGAACTGCTGCACTGTTAGGGAAGTGCTGTTTGATCTCACTTAATCAGGTGAAACTATGACAACATCTGCAGCAATCATGGGACATTTACGGCTGAAACTAGGATTTTAAAATAAGTAAAGTTAAAAGTGAAACCACGCCTATGAGAATACAGACAGACAACCTGCTCTCTCTTTTCTTTCCTTTGGAGACGGAAAATCTTGAGAAAGCTGGTTATCAATTATTGAACACAAGTTAGAGCATAGTTGAATTAAATAAGTTTTTTTCAATGCTTAATGCTTTAGTTTTATTTTTTTTATTTCTTTGCTACCTATTTGACAAATTTACCCTCCTAAAGTGAAATTTTTTGTCTATCCCATCCCATCTCTTAATCACTAATGTCTATTAATTTATCTTGCTGTAAGGCTCTTTTAATTCCAATTACCAATATCTACCATGCAGTAAAAGACTGGTCTTAATTTTGATGAAAAATAAATCCAGTTTACTGATCCTGGTTTATTAAAAGCATCTCTTAATGAGTTCAGATTTTAAAACTCACATCTGTCAGATTTTAAAACTCACAGGAAGGACAATCTGTTACTCTAACCCCTTCAAAGGCTTCTTGCATTGTTCACCGCTGATTTTTGAGGTTTAATTTCTTTTTTTTTTAATGCTATGCTCACAGTTTCCCCTAATTACATAATTTAGAGGTAGATTCCAACTCGGTCATCTAATAGTAAACTACAGCTGCCAACAATCTAAAATGTAGTAGTTTATGTTAGTCATAATACCCTTGAACTTTGGAACAATCCCTGAGAGACTCTTTTGACCATAATAACACTTAAAAGGTGCATTAAAGGTAACTTCATTAACATAGTATCAAAGTAGGATATATCATTTTGTTGAACATATATGTGTATGCATTAAAACAGAAACACAATAGAAAGCAAAAAACAACTTAAATAAACAGAAACAACGTTTCCACCATGTCCTCGGTACATTAAGAGAGGTGCAACAAAGATTAAATAGGGAACTCAGTGAAACACTATAATATAGAAAGTTATAGTAAAGCATCTTTCGAATTTAAAATCCTGCCTTTAAAGAAAATGCAGCCAGTTGTCTTGGTTGAAAAAAATGTATAATTTACCACTGAACTAATGTCAGACAAGAATGAAATCACTGTCAACAAGATGTGATTAGTGGCATTAGATTTAATCTACTGAGAAAGAGATTCAAGAGTATTACAAACTGGAGATCCAAGGACTAAGAAGCAAAGCCCTGGTATTTCTGCATTAGAAGTAAAGGAAGTAAAGATTTAGCCATAGTCTTTATTCTTAATGACACCATCAATGACTACATGGAATAGGACTCCTTTCTTTCAAGTGGAAAATGTATCTGGTAGTCATCAAAATAAAGCTAAAAGGTGCATTTGTTAGCTCTTAAAATGGAGCCCAGGAGAGGTAGATGCATAAAAAAATCCCAGAAGCCCTAGAAACAAGCCCTGTGGGACACCACAGGAAATGGAAAAATACTTGGAAATATCCTTTGTGTGAATAATCCAAACCAGTCAGAGCAGTGACTTATTACCACGACATTTCAAAACAAGATTTGAAATGTAGTTATAAATATGCATAAAACTAGATTACACAATGCTATGCAGCTAAAATGCCATTAAAAGTCCAGGTCAATGCAAATTCAGTGCTGTGGTGTGAATAAAAAAAACAGAATACCTCTTTTTAATCTGAAATCTGCACTGTTACATGTTTCCTACTATTTCGAACAACATTCTAGAACAACAATAATAAGAGAAACAGCCTAAGTGATCAGAGTGCATCAATAAGATGACCTTAGTGTCATGGTTTTGGTTCTGTT